GAGGAAACTGAAGCTGGCCATTTGCTAAAAGATGACAGGGTAGTAGATAGTTGGTCTGATTCAGGCACCAAGCTTCACTCCCCCTTGCCCCCCAAGTGTGAATGCCATGCCCTGGAAGGTGAGGAGGTGGCCAGTGGGCACAGGGGAGGTTGAGGAACTCCCTGCAGCCCAGGGAGGGCAAGGGCAGAAGATGGAACTCAGTTCATGAGGACAGGGTCTAGTTGAGCCTGGCCTCCCCACTGCTGCTACCAACCCCTGCCGCCTGGCTGCCTGCTAAGATGCCATCAAGATTGGCGGCATCCGGGCTGGGGATCTCCCTGTGGTGGTGGCTGGTCATGGGACGCTGACTCACTGCCGGCCTGACCACCTGACCTCGAGTAGGCCGGCCGAGAGGGCCCTGCCAGGGGGTTCCCCTGCCGCAGCCTTGTTTACCTCTCCTGCCCTTGGGGGAGGGCGGGGAAGGCCTGCGCCCCGCCGCCGCCGCGGGGCATGCTGGGAAGGCCACCGCTGGGGCTCCCCAGGGCCGAGGGTCTTCTGGTCTGTTCCCAGGGACCCGTTTCCTGCCATCTGGCTTCTCCCTTCCTGCAACCCCACCTTCCCAGACGTTGCCAAAGCCAGGCGGTCCTGCGGGCAGCCTCCAGTTTCCGTCAAACCTTTGTACGGGGGCCGCGCCTCGGGCCCTTCCTGAAACCGGGGTTCCCTAGACCACAGGGTTCTCCTGGTGTACCCTCCACCCACTCAGCAGGGGACACTGGAGCCCTGGGAGCGGGAAGCCTGGCTCTGGGCCCAGGCTGCAGGGGCTGCGAGGCTCCTAGGCTGCTGAGTCATGCCCTCGGGCACCGTGGGCTGTGCAGCCTCTGCCCAGCACCGCCCCTCCTTTGTCCCTGACCCTGTCTGCAGGGCGTGGGCGCGGGCGCGGGGTCTCTTTCCCAGGCTCACCGTAGGGATGCCGGGGGACCTGAGAGGGGACTGTCCTCTCTACAGGGCTGTTTTCAGGGATGCACTGCTTGGCCTGCTCTGGAACACTCTGGGAAGGACCAGCCACAACTGTGGACAGGTCCCTGCTGTACTCCCACAGGCGAATCACCTTCGAACCTGACTAATCAAATCCACCCAACCTTGGGGGGGGTGTGTGTGTGTGTCTGGGTTTCCCATGCCTTGAGGTTACCTGCTCCCACAAACCCCTCCATGACTTTAAAAGTACATGACTTTGACTCAACAGGCCCGAGCTGCTACGTACAGGACCCCACCTGGGAGGCTTCCTGGTGACATACTCTTCCTTCAGGCTTGTGAACAGGTCACTTGTGTCAAAGCATGTTTCTTGGTTTCCAGTTGGAGGGCTGTTGGTCTGACCCCTGGGCTGCGCACGAAGCCAACAGGCCTGAGACCCCACAGGCCCTTGGGCGCTACTTGCTGAAGGGAACCCCCGTGCCGACCGGCGGGTGTCCAGGCTTCCACCGGGAGTGTCTTGGGCTGCAGTGCGTACTTGGCGTCTACTGAGGCTCCAGGGAGCTTAGGCTGGCCCTCCAGCTGGGTGCGGGTGGGGTTTCTGTGCTCTTTCGGCACCTCTAAGCCCTAGTTCCTATTAGACTGGGAGCGCCTCTCGCGCTTGCTCCTGAGGGGGGCCAGTGTCCCTCAGCCCAGTGAGGGGCCGTCCTGGAGTGTGCGGGGGGAGGTGGCGATCCCGGGAGGCCACCTGGGAGACCAACGCCTTCCAGCGAATGGGGGGTTGTCAAGAGCGGCAGGGTAGGGGCAGCCCCTCAGGAGCCAGTCTGATCCGGTCGGTGGTGCCCGCTGGGAGCCCCCCGGCTGCGGGCCTCTGCGGTCCCGCTCCCCCGTGTGGGGCTTCCCCGGCGGCCTGGCTCCGCTCTGCTGAGTCACGGCCAGGCCCGGGAGGGGTCTGGGGGCGGGAACCCTGCGGGTTCTATCCCCAGGTGCAGAGGCCTGAGTCCACGTCTAGATGTCGGAGGGCGGGGCCGGCCTCTCGGGGTCACCGGTGCACTGGGGGCAACGAGGAGAGGGGTCGGCGATGAGGGGGGCAGGGGAGACCGCTGGGAAACCGAGGGGGCGATACGCGCGGGGCTCCGGCAGGGCGGCTCACGCGCCACGGCCGCAGCGTTGGGGGCGGGGCCGCGCGAGACCCCGCCCTCTGGGGGGCGGGACCAGACTCCGAGGTCCCTTACAAAAGCCGCCAGCCCGCAGCTGCGGCTCCACAGCCAGGCTCCTGCTCTCCGACGTACCGCGATGGCCTCCTTTACGGTGAAGGCGTACCTTCTGGGGAAGGAGGAGGCGACCCGCGAGATCCGCCGCTTCAGCTTCTGCTTCAGCCC